TTCACTCTGCAGCTGTCTGCTTACTTTTTGGGTTAGATGTTTAATTTTTATATACTTTTTGTAAACTCTTTCTGCCTTGGTTTCTTTAAATTTTCTATATAGGTTTTCCTTCTGTTTACAAAGCTTCTTTAGTCTATTATTAAACCAGCATTTATTTATTTTGTTTGATGTGTATTTAGTTGGTATATGATTTTCTATAATGCTTTTAAGATGGTTTTTAATGAAATTCCAAAGGTCATCGACTGGTTGGTTAATGTCTTTTTCTAATAAGAATGTTTGTTGAAAGTTTAATGCAGCTTGGTGTAGTTGTGTTAGGTTACATTTATTCCAGAGTAAGATTTTTCTTTTGGGTTTTGTATTGGCTACTGCTTTTATCTGACTGTGTATTTTTATGATCTCATGGTCTGATAGACCAGGGATAATATCATAATCAACTACTAATCCAGGTCTGTTGGTTAAGAAGAGATCTAATGTGTTGTTTAATCTAGTTGGCTTTTTAATGATTTGATCTAAACTTAGGTTGTGTAAAGTTTCTATGAAAAGCTCATTTATGTCCTTAAGGTTTTGGTGTTTATCTATGGTTAGTGTTTTTCAATTTATATCAGGTAGGTTGAAATCACCCATAATCCAAAAAACTGCATTTTTATTTGTCTCTTTAAGTGTAGTAATCTGATTACATAGTTCCTACATGTATTCTAAACTAGAATTTGGTGGTCTGTAAATGCTGCCTATTATTAGGGATGTTGAGGTGGTATTAATTTTACAAAATGTAGATTCTATATTTTTTGAGTTAGGTAAGGTAATTCTTCTGCTATAAGAGTGTTTTTTATTGTTAAAAGAACTCCTCCATGATTATCAGCCTATCTTTTCTAGAAATTGAAAATTTCTGCATTATAAATTTTAGGATGTAATCAAGTTTCTGTTCCTGCAATTATGTCTGGTTTCTCACATTTTAATAAAATATCTAAGTCTGCTGTTTTGTTCCTAATGCTTTGAAAATTTATTACTAAGGTTTTAAGGTATTTTGGTATTACTTCTTTAGTAGGTTTGTTTAGTGAGGCTGTTGTATTAATTTTAGTAGATTTAGTTTTAACAGGAGTGGATCTGGCTAGTGGTTGGTGAGTTTGTTTTGGGATGGTGTTTAGGATGTTGTATGGGTTAGAAGTGTCTGCATCAAAGGAATCAAACAGTCCTGATGTAAATTGAGGTAACCCACACGGTACACAGTGCCATGATGCATCTTTGTTGCCTAAGGCATAATACACAGGTGTATTCATATGGAAACATGATGCATGGTACCATTCATCGCAGGTGTCACATTGAATGGCTTTCTGTTTCATGGTGCATACTTTTTTGCAGATGTTGCATCTATCTTTAGATCTAGGCCCTGGATTTGACTCTACATCTCCTGCTATTAATATTAACAGTGATATGTATTTATTTCTACTGTATCTGATTGAGAACTTCCATTTGTGATGGGTAATCTTCTTTAATGTTAAGTCTAAGTCTAAAGTGAAAGCTAATTTACAATGACAATCAAATGGTTTATTCAAAATATAGACCTAGGCTAGATCCAGATCTAATTCTAGATCTAATTCAAAATCAATATATTTATGTGTTTAACTAACTATATAGAATATTACTATTAGTTATTATTAGTAGTATTAGTAGATGATTAGTAGATCTAAAGCCTTAATTAAAGTCTAAGTCTGACTAGATCTAAAATCTAAGGATATAATAATAAATATAGACTAAATAATATTAAATATAATTATAAGGATTAGACCAATTAGTGAGACAAAATAGTCCTAAACTAAGAGTTGTTAATTTGAATTAATTAGTGGAAATAATTCTAAATTAAGTTAAATCTATAATTTAAAGATATTAGTTTATTAGTTGAATAGATTTTTTAAGGAATTTTGTTTGGTTTTAATACGACAAAACGAAAATTTAACTCATCTCTGATAACTGTAAACAGGGAGCAGCCATCTTGTCAAGAGCGCGTAACTCATTGGGTTACTATAAAGTAAGTAATTATATACCAGTGTTACCCTCTACGTATTTGGCACTGACGTATAATATCTACACTTTTAAATGGACTCATATCTCAAAAAGCTTAGGGCCTTATCAAGTCCAAAACCGTCTCTAGATATTTCCAACAGTTGGCGACAAAGTCTACCTGGCATCATAGCGATAGAATCGACATACCAGCAAGGTAACAATTGACGAAATCAACAACGCAGCATTCTGAAGCTCTCTTCTGAAACCGAATGAGCTCTTGGCGGCGAGTTACAAGAATTATCAAGGCTAGACCTTATAAAAAACAAAATGTCAAACTTGCATGGATACAGGACGGTTGATAGACCAACGATGGCAGAATGCCCTGCCCTTTGTCAGAACTGGTAAATTTGTGAGTCATCAATTTATTGAGCTTGTGACGTAAACAATAACAAGCCATTATATTTTTAAAAATTCTTAAAAAAAAAAAAAAAAAGCAGTTTATCTAACGTGAAGAGATTCACATTTACAATGATAGCTCTCAGTAATGTATAAGCTGTTTCCCTTATTTGACTTCGTCATGGTTTATAGCCTAATTTAAATTTCTTTCTCTTATACTTTGAGAAACTATAACGGTCAAACTAGAGTTCTCCCCGTGTGGCAACGAGCTAGCAATTCTTTTCTGTTAAATTTCTAAAAAAAATCGATAGAGCCGTTTTTAAGTTCAGCGTCCAGATTACCCCTTCAACCCTCCGTCCGCTCACCCACTCTCCATGAAATTATGTCATAAAATTGACAATACATCTTATATAAAACTGCTAGGGCGATTAATTTGCTGTTAATAATTAATGATAGCTAGATTTTAAAAGAAAAATGAAAATACTAATTACTTTAATAATTATTTGAATTTCATAGCTCCAGCGAAGCATGGAAGATGGCTGTCAATTGTTGTCTAAAAACTGACGAATGGTTAGGTCAAGTGGACCTGCGGCTCTTCGCTCTCTCTCTCTCTCTCTCTCTAGCAAACTTCCCAGAGAGCACAAGGCTTTACAAAGTTTAATTGCATCAATTAGTTTAGATCTGTCATGGAATTAAGTTTGTAAAAGATCTAGACAATCAACAATAAATCTGTGCGATTAGAAATATTTTTATCATTTTTTTTTTGGTTTAGCGCGATTCATGCTTTTAGCTTGCTCCATACGCTATGATCCTATCACTTGCCTGGACCAGTTGGGGGTGGGGGTGGGGGGTGGGGGTGGAACGCTCGTTTTTTTTTATTTTGTAAAGTTTTTCGACTTTACTTCGAACTCGAGGTCTCAAGTCTCTCCAAGATGACTAATTCAACTTATACTGTCTGTCAACTACAATTTCTTTCCTTGTTCGATAACAAAGATAATACTTAATTACCAGTAGTTAATTATCTGTTATATCAAGTCTTATAAGTTAAGGAGAGATAGGTTCATGTGAAGCCAATGAATGAAGAATTTAACATTGTTTTTGAGTACTCCTAATTGTACCCTAACAGACCCTGGTGACTACAGATGCCCAACCTGTGACCGCAGCTGTGGATTTAGGATTGGCCTCTTTAGTCACTCAAGAGATTGCAAAGAGACCTATAATGCTACAGTGAGACCATAACTTGACCTGGATATTGCAATGGTAGTGTTCAAAAACCTATTTTCTTTGTTACTGTTTTTTTTTTTAAATCAATTTTTTGAATGTGTGGGTGTTTAGAGAATAGCAGGTGTGTGGGTCTGGGTGTATGTTTTGAAAGGCTCCCTGTAAAGCTTATTACTCGAAAGTTGTATACTCCACAGTGTACTGCACAACATAAAACAATGGCTTGATTCATTCCACCAGTTCCAGAACGAGGTTACCTTTCTTCTGCAGTCACATAACTTCACATTTTGGAGGGAACGTATTGTCCTCACGTCAACCTCGAGGGAGGGCGAAAGGAGAAGGCACATCTAAGACAATCTCAAGGGTGGTATTTTCTTAACTAAGTCTTATCACTGTCAACTTGTCTACACTGAGAATATGTCACTTCTACGAGATTAGGTTCCGTCGATCAAATGTAACTCAAGTAAAATAATAATAAACAAGCATAATAAAATACAAGCAAATTACACACAGGCAAAACATACTTTTTTTTACAAGCTTATATTAAGTATATTAAATTAGTTTTTATCAGTCATGTAATTAAATTTGTAATAGATCTACACTAAAAAAAATAAATCTGTATAATTAGAAATATTTTTGTACCAATTGTTTTTGTTTAGCGCAATTTCATGCTTTTAGCTTTCTCCCTTGCTACAAGACAAGTGTAAAACGGGCTCTTGCCTTGAAACCCAAAATCTTTACAAAGATTTATGGATTATTTTCACAGTGGAAAAACGGTTGCACTTATCGATGTTATAGAACACTTTTATCAACTCCCTCTTTTTTTTTCTGTTTGTTTGACTGGTAATAAGTCACTATTTCCCCAACACCCATTCTCGGATCAAGTTGAAACTTTGCACAATTATCCACCGGTATAGACACAATCAATAAAATATTAACGAACTAGTCCTTTATTTAATTAATTGTACCAATTAGGGAATGTAACCTATCAGTAATCGTAGCTATGGTTGTGTGTAGGCTGTGTGTAGGGCTTGGTCCCCCTAGATAGTTGTACACTCTATTTCTCCCACACCTGTTCTCGAATCTAGTTGAAACTTAAAAAAAAAAAAAAATATTATACCTAACAAAATATGGATCAATAAAAATTTCCACCAATTAGTATCGAATAAGTAAATAACCATTACATTATTGTGAGTTATAGTTAAAAATGCGGTGTTCTTCCCATTAGATAGGCTTTTTTTTTTTTTTTAAAAAAGATTTTTATATTTTGACTGTTAGAGTGATGAAAAGATTTTTAAAAAACTTACTATGAAATAGATGAAACAACTTACTGATTGAAAAATATTTATACATGTATCAGTTCGTTATATTTTAGTGATGGGGCTTGGAAGGACTCGCGATATAAGGAAGTAGAGTTAATCAATTAAATGACCACAGCTGTAATCTTTTTTTTAAATTTAGACCAGTGTTTCCAGAACTGTGTTACGCGGAACCTTAGTGTTCCGCGAGGCCTGAATAGGTGTTCCACGAACTATTGGATTAATAAACTAGTGTAGGCTACCACGTGAATTAATCTCTCCAGAAAATAAGAGAATTGTTCCGCTAAAATACTCAGATTGTGGAAAGTGTTCCATTAAAGAAAAAAAGTTTGGGAACCACTGATTTAGAGTATTCGGTTGCACAGTTCAATCAATAGCAGCAAAAACTCACATCAACAACAAAAAAAAAAAAGACAATACCTCCTTTATACAGCTTATTGAGCGATTCCTGATTCGAATCCTGGTGTAGACTGAGATTTTTAATTTTGGAATTTTTAAGGAGCCTTTGAATCCACCCAGCTCAAATGAGTACCTGACAGTTAGTTAGGTTGGGGGAAAGGTACATAGTCGTTGTGATGGCCACTTGAAATGTTAACCGTGGACGACAGAAAAATTACATTTACATTATCTCGCCTATAAATATGAGGTACTCTATGCTATTAACCACATTCTCTCTCCCTCATTTTATTTTATTCTCTCCCATTTATTTCCTGCTCGATCATCTGTTTCCTTCATGTCGTGCCCGTAATCCTTTAAGGATAACTCTTCCTTTAAATAACAAGGGCTAAATTCTATACAGTTAAATCATTAAAAACAAGGTCTATTCACAGTTAAAATAGTAAAGGTAGTAAAAATTTAATTATTTGGTAAAAATCTTATGTAAATTGGATACGTTCGCAATTCATAAATCAGATTTGTTAGACAACCCCACCTCTCGGACAAAGCCCAGTACCTTCCCAGGGTCGACATTATCGAATAGTGTTTTTAAGTTGTGTGCTCTAAAAAATGTCTCCCTGACATCCTGGTATCTGGGGCAATCAATGAGGATATGTTCCACGGTGAGGCGAGAGTGACAGTACTCACAAAGTGGGGGCTCCTCTCTCTTCAGCATAAAAGAGTGCGTGATGTAGGTGTGGCCAATGAAATTATTATATATATATTCATTACCAGTAATCGGTTAATTTTTTGATTAATTGATGTATTGTCATCAACTAATTATAAGCCGTATTCATCTAATCAGAAGAGTCTAAGTGTGGGGAAAAAACGTATACAAATTCTATTAACAGGAATAACTCTTATATACAACCACATATATCAATAAGAAGAATTTCTTTGCCTTATTAGATAAACAAAACCATTATATAATTAATAACCAATAATTAACTAAATGGTTATTTTTACCTGATCCGTGAATGGGTATGGTAGAAAATAACGCGTACAATACTAGTAATAATTGGTATAGTCTAAAAGACATTTAAAGTATAAAGAGGCACTGTGAGAACTTGAAGTAAGGCAGTAAGAGAACGAAGAGATATAGTGAGGCATATAGAGACACTGTAAGCAAATACAGAGGCGAGATAAGGGGGAACTAAAGTAAGGTAACGGTAGGCTTACTTCAGAGCTTCTCAAACATTTACTGGTGATGCCTCCCTAAACCAAAGAAAATTTGACCTTCCTTGCTCTCCCACCCCATTTTATCAGTTAAGAGCTTTTTTTTTTTTTGTCAAGATGGCTGCTGTTTGTATTCAGTGATCTATGATAAGATAAGTTGTACGTTAATTGTATTCAAATCAAATCCATAGTTCTTAATAATCTATTTCACTAAGAAGTTTAACACTTTAAGTTATAGATACAACTTAATTGAGTATTATTTTCCAAATTAATAAAACTTTATTACTTTAACTTCAAGTCTAAGATAACTTTGACTGCATCTACACGTACGTAAATAGTGGATCTTATCGTATAAAATACAGACGTTACTTTAGAAAAAAAAAATATTTACATCCTATGCGTGTCCCTAGGTCAATGTAGTCATGCATGCTAATCAATTTCTTAGATTCAGCCTATTCATTGACTTTCCTGGCTGACACAGGCAACCCACCCCATGCTCTAGTAGCACTAGGGAAGAAGGAACATTTGTACAAATTAGTCCTAGCATATGGATCTGGTGGATCTAAACAAAACAGAAGATCTCATTCTAACTAGCAGACCTGGATTAGTGGAAGATTATGAAATAATCTCTAGACTATCTGACATTGACTAATTAAAATATAGTCAAATAAAAGCAGTAGCCAATATAAAAGCCCCAATTTTTTTTTTACTCTGGAAGAAACGCAACCTAACATAACTACACCAAGCTGCATTAAATTTTAACAAACATTCTTATCAACCCCGTTAACGATGTTGTGAATTTCCATCAAAAGCAATCTTAAAAACTTTATAGAAAATCAAATACTAACTAAACACTCGGCACACAAAATACATAAATGCTGGTTTAATAATAAATTAAAGAAACTTTGCAAACAGACTGAAAACCTATTTAAAAAAAAAAAAGAAATTAACGCAGAAATAGTCCATTAAAAAATACTTTAAAATCAAAGACCTAACCTAGGAAGCTAGCAGACAGCTATTGAGTGAATACATAAGTAATATCTAAAGATAACACAAATCTATGATCATACAGTAAATCATTAAAAAGAGAAGATAACTTTACACATAACGATAATTAAATTAAAGCTAACATTCTTAATAAATATTTTGCATCAGCATTCTCAGCCCCAGGAGACAAAGACATGAATACATTTAAACCAAGTAGAAAACATAGGGGATATAAATGTACAAGAAAAAAGGGATCTAAAAACTATTAGCTAGAATAAAACCAATTAAAGCCTCTGGACTTGATTGTATTTCAGCTAGGTTACTCAAAGAACTAAGCAATGACACAATCATTACAATTCAAATACTTTTTCAGGCATCGCTAAATCAGGGCAGGATACCGAGGGACTGTAAAGACGCTAAGCTCCCTCCACTAGTTAAAAAAGGAGAGAAACATGATCGGGGAACAACAGGCCAATATCACTGACCAGCATCACATGTAAAATACTAGAACACATAATATGTAGAAACACCAGAAACCACTTAATGTTTTCAGTCCATACCAACAGAGGCACCCAAAGATCCCGAAATAAAAAATCCAGTGAAAGTGAAATACCCAGTAGCTAAATTAGACAATGTCAAGGACGTTAATTTAAAAGATCAGTGTTGCAAACTAAATGTTTGAAGAGCAGAAGTGAATCTTCCTATCAGCTCTTCTTTACTACTTGTATTTAATAATGACCCGTTTATGTTTTTAAAGACGCTTTCGAGTCGCGCTTCTGTTGTGGAGCAAACCTCGAATACGTCTTATATATTCATATTAATTTGGGCAACAAACAAAAGAGATTAAGAATTTGGCTGTGCGAATAAAATAAAATCATATATTAACACTTCTTATATATTATTCAGATATACCATACATTTTATACATTTATACAAGACAGTTGAGAATCTCGATCTTGTCAAAATGAAAAATATGCGTAATAAATCTAAATTCGACATTTTCATAGTAGTGGTAACTTTGCTGAGTAGAGGAAACCATATATATATTGCACAGAATACGGAAATAATAAGTACTTCGATAAACCATAAACCGGTGTGTATATGTATGTATGGGTACAGTTTTCATCACTGTGGAATCACATTTCTGAAGTATTTCTATTGTAACACCAAGTAACAAGAGTAAGTTTTATTATTTACTTGGCAAACACTGATTTTTTTTTTGTGACGTCCTTGACATTGTTAATTTTGGCCTATTTCAAAATCTCTGACAGACTTCTCTCCCTTTTCTTACGTTTCTATATACGTTCCATGACATCACCACTACATTGAATATCATTTTAATTCTTCTTTCTTAGAGAACGTAAACGAGTACTTGAAAATCAAAGTAAGACAAAGAACAGATTATAGTGAATGACGTTTGGAGTGTAAATCACGCTATGAAGGCATCCCCCATGTTTTGAAACTGAGCAATAGTTTGGGCTGATTCTGAAAGCCAAAGGACGAGGAGGAGCAATGAATGTTAGCATTTTCTTTTAAAATCGTGCTAATTTTATTCTCTTTATTCTCAGTGATATTATTTTGAAGATTCCAAAGAGTTACCACTCAGCTTGGCAAGAAGGCGTGGCCTATAACATATGTTTAAAACCGGAAGCTTTCAACCCATATTGTGACGTCACAGTTCGTTGAATTTACCAATTATCACTAGAAGAGCTCGGGAATTCCCGATACAATGATATAGAATATAGAGTAATCTAGAACTACCACCGTAGGTCTTCTCATATAATGTCCTGATTGTATATTTAGGAAGCAAGTGGAGAATTTTAAGGTCAGTTGATAAAGTGGTTATAGTAAAAGAAAAAAAAAATTATATTTGTCTTTTAAATTATGAATCAGTATTTGCAGGGAAACATATAGCGATTGTTCATTTAGTCATTGTGGTTCAACTAACTAATGAGAAGTCATTTTTTCATCGACTATGTCCTAAAATCTGTTTCTATGGGAACATACCAATGTCTAGTTTGGTCATTTATCAAGCTCAACAAATTTATCTTATAGTCATTCAAGTAATAAATCTTCTGGTCATTGAACTAATTCATCCTTTGGTCATTCAACTAATTCATCCTCTGGTCATTCAACCAATTCATCCTCTGGTCATTCAACCAATTCATCCTCTGGTCATTCAACTGATTCATCCTATGGTCATTCAACCAATTCCTCCTCTGGTCATTCAACCAAATTCATCCTCTGGTCATTCAACTAATTCATCTTCTGGTCATTCAACTAATTCATCTTCTGGTCATTCAACTAATTCATCTTCTTAAATAATGAACTTCATAGCACATAGTCCTCATCAGTGGGAAATTGGCCACTTTTGTTCCGCATGCGTGATTTTTGTGTGTGTAAAATATCCTCAGGCCACTCTTCTCGATGGCCTGAATGGCCTTTAACCTGGGCAGCAAATAGTCTCTACTCGAGGACACAATGTGAAACTCCATTAACAGCTGCTTCGTGTTGGCCAGCTCCCCAGACTCGAACATTTCCGGGATGGCGCCCCACTCGGAGCTCTCTACGTCCATTTTAATGACAGCAATACTGGAATTCGCATGCCCGAGCATTTTGCGAATGTCCCGATGTGTGAACAGCTTCCACTGCTGACTATTGACATACGTCTTTCCATCAATCCCGATTTTATAAAAGTGGACATTGCTGGATCTGTAACAAACGCAAAAATTCAATAAATACATAAATAAATAAATTTAAAGTACGGTATTGAAAACATTTTAAAATATTTTTTACATGTTTGGTTAAAAACAATGTTGAATTTACATTTTAGCCCAAACCCTATAGGGACTGGGGTGGATGGCAGAGGAGAAAATTTGAACCCCCAGGACCAGGCAGCAATCTTTACACTATTATACAAAGTAGACAAGAAAAATGTAAATCTTTTGGACAAGCCAAAATGTTAGCGAAAGATATTGAAATACATTGGATGATGTTTAGAGCGTCAAATCTAATGATGTAAATGGCAAAAGATGTCAAAGACTACATCAAATTATTGGCTTCCTCAGTCATAGAACAACTTTGGTTCATCTCGAACACTTTTTCATGTGGATGAGTTTGGAGAGACACTCCCGTCCACACAAAAC